GGAGTCACAGGCGAGGTACAAAAACATGACCACGGCCCATCCCGTTGTCGTTTTTGCCCTCTTTGTTCAACATGCCTGGCACCCGACACCAGCAGGCAATCAGCAAGCAGTCAACACACACAATCAATAGCGCTGACTGTTAGGTGAGAACGCCGTCACTCCAAGGCGGGACCGCGGCCCATTGGAACGTGACCCCGCCGGCAAACACCGTTTCAGAACCCAGGAGCTTGGTTGGGTTCTGACCGTTCTGGAGACGGGGTCCCTTCAGTTCTTTGACTGGCGAACCGGGAACAGCATCAAACATCCCCAGAGGCCGTTCCATTCGACCAGTCCTTTGCGGGGCTACCTCGCTGTCAGGGAACCATGGCACAAATGGGCAAATCACCCGGAACTCCCAGAAATTCCAAAGGGGCCCTGGCAAGACACCCTGGCGACTCCTCCTTCTTGTCCAAACAAGCATCGCCATTGGCGCCGTGCCTCCAGGAACGTTGCCGTTCGCTTCCGCTTCTGCGCCTCTCCACTTCTCAGAGTATCACCTCCACATCTTCGTAGCGTTGGACGCTATCGTTCGACCAGTCCGTAATCCGCTCGTGATCCACCGGGATCTCAAGCCGGTCTGATTCTTCCTCGTCCCCCTGGGACTTTTCCATCACAAAGGGGTTTGTTCATTCACTCAAAGTTTTGCATGACGGGGCCGGATGACATGGCCTGGTCCATCCCAGCCAGCAGGAAAAGGCACAAGGGAACCCGAGAAAAAAAAAAAAAAGCTCCCGGCCCTATGATGGACGACCGTTGCTCCAATTGTGGATCGTAGCATTCGAGTTCCGATTTATCGAACGATTCCAGCTACCTCTGGTTCGTAAAAAGGCACAACGTCTTGTCTCGCCCTGTCGGTACCTGGTTTCGTTGCTGGCGACATGACATGCTGACGTTTCGTCTACCGCGCGGCACTCGAACAAGGTGGTCGACGACAACGACGGCGACCACACTCGACACCAAGTCGGAACTGCAGACACCTGTCTTCAACCTGCCAGAGAGCTGTCGCCACTCGCTTCGGAGCACATAACCTGCAAGACCCCGTCGTCGACCGTAGCGTGGGGTCCCTTCGCATCAAATAAGTTTGGCTACAGGTCACCGGCCTGCATCAATATTGCAGCTGCCGTATCATGCTCCCTTTCTCACCAGCCTAATCAAGCAAGCCATCTTGCCCAAGAGTGGGTTTTGTGCAGAGTAGCATACATATACACTAGACTGGTCGTGGTGGCCATCCGGACTTCCTGCCTACCAGAGCCCGTCGCCCTCGGTCTGGGTAGCATCAGCGTTGTACCGTGACGATGCGAGAGGGCTTGTTAACTGAGGGGTTGGTGTGTGAGGGATCGAGACAGCGAACCACCATCGCCAGCGGCATCATCATTGGCGCTAGGACATTGTGTTCCGAAATGCCTGATAAACTCCAGGCCAATCCGGCCGTTTTCCTCTTCCTAGTGTAGTGTACCGCCTGTTCCACCGTCTCCTGGTTGTTCTACGCGTTCTACGGGATACGCCCCCCGGCACTGCGTATACACACTACTTACCTGTATGCATATGTGCACCACGACCCAGTGTCGTGGCGAGGGTGATGATTGTTCAGACAGGTGCGCAAAGCTATCACAAAGGTGCGATGACACATTGACCTTTGTGGCATGTTCGTGGCATCATCAACACAGGTACGACGGACTGCTAAAAAGAACAGAGTAGGTACAATGCCTACACCAGACGGATCTCGGGATTTCTCGTAAAACTTTCATTCATTGGAATTATGTACTGGCCGAGGTCGTGTTCCACGAGATATATCGTTGCTCTAGTATCTGGAAGGCGACTGCGAGACGGCCGCTCAGAGTAAAAAGTGATATGGTTGATTGGCTTCGAGGACAAAGCATCGGGTGGGAAGGTTATCTGCTGTATAATGTGTAACCAGGCTCCCAGGAAGATGGTGGCCGATGTCTGTCGAACACAGGGGCGGACAGCCAACGTATTTGTTTGAAAATTTCTCCGCTCCAACCACGAAGGAGGACGGCGCCCGAGCTAGTTCGTACTTTGCTTTTCCAATCACTAGTCAATTCGTCTCCAGCCGCCGAGCACCATCAATAATCTTCACCAGCCAAACGGACCATCCCGCATCGATACCATCTGGCTGGGACCGAGACGAACCCATCCAGGGAGACGTTTCCTTCCTTCTGAACTCCAAGGTGGAACCAAGACATCTTACTCAACCCAAGTAGGCGAGATGTTCTATTCTTGCGCTGTCAAGCCGAATCGTTGATATGCTTGGGAGTAAGACAGGAGTATGAAAACCAAAGCATGACTCTGGTAGCCTGACAATATCAAGCGTAAAATTCAGCGGCAATTTCCACCCCATGAAGTTCAATACAGAAACCCTATCGAGATGGTACGGTTTGCCGGAAATAGCCAGCGGGTTATTCATACTGATATATGTAGTTTTGTAATCTCTTCTACTGCCTTTCCGTGAGCTGCATCTTATATATCCTGATATATTAACAAGCATCGTTCAGTAATTCATGACTGCTTACCAAGCGGCTTATGGTCAAGGCATTAATATGGGCAGTGTAGTACAGTAGGCAACTCATTAGGCCCGACATCATCACCGCCACTGTCGTCTTAGGGGTTGCACAGAGGGTAGAGGGCTCGTGAAACGGACGGTCCATTAGCCAAAGAAAAGAAATGTAGTACAAAGATTAGAAAGAGAAAAGAAAAAACCTCAATTTACGCCTGGCAGGCACGCCAGGCTCAGACCTGGGCACAGTAGAAGTCCGGTAAAGTAAAGGGCGGATTACGGTCCATTACCAGATACCGTTTCTCATTGAAACAGCATCGTAGTGTAAACTGAATCCACTGAGCTTTCTTTTGCCAGGAGGCTACGTCCCAAACTGTCGGGTCTGACAAAATATCCAATTGACTGAGAAAAAGCGGTATCCTCCCTTCATTACGATTGGTACTGAGGCATCTTTCACCGCTTATGTCTCGGAGCTGCGATGTTTTGCTGGAGGATGCTGTTTCTGTTTTTATTTTCACAAGCTGGACAGCGTTCACACTATCCAGCCCCTCCATTTCCCTTGTTTTTCTTTCTCCCCTTTCATTTCATCTTGTCAATGCGTTTTTGGATCCTGTGTGACCGCTAACATTGTGCTGTTGTAGTTACGTCTTTAGTAGACTTGTCCAATTGATGATCATCGACCGGTGTCTCTTTGACGGACAATCCTGAGCTCGCTCCTTTCATCAGATGAGACGGATGACTGTCACTGCAACACAAAAAGTATGTCATGATATTTACAACGATAAGCTCAACCGCCTTTGCTGTGGAGAAATGCTACATTCCTGCTTCACACCTGCGAGGCAGAAATGGCAGATAACCTAGCATTCAGTCAGATAGAGTGCATTGCATTGCATGCTGCGCACAGCGTGAGCAACACCTTGAAAGGTGGCCCTTCAATCCACTTCACATCGTTCTTCACCACCTTCGTGTATCGTCTGCAGATGTGCCAGGGTGGCATGTTTTGTATGGACTTCGTGGGGGGGAAAATCCTATCACTGTTGTGAGCTATCATTTTGTTTGCTGGCCCCTCTTCCACACCATGCCCTACCATCCCATGCCGAGGATCTCGGGGGGTAAGTCGCTCTGACAGAAACGAAAAGCAACTTTCGCTTGCGCAGGCATAACTTATGAATGGACTACACTGCTACGGGGGTATTGCTGCGTTCTGGACTGCCTCGGAAGCAGTAGGGTCATGCTGTCCTCCAATCTGGAACTGCCGAGAAGTTCTACATGGAAATGGAAACCGACATGACCTGAGGACTGAATGGTCGAGAATCGGACAAATGTAAAATAAAGAGGAGGCGGAAGCGGAGAAGGGAAAAGCAGATTAACCAAGGACACTGAACATCCAAACATGGACGGTGAGCCAAGGCTGATTGGACAACAACTGCAAAAATCCAAAGGCAGCAAACAAACATGTCCCCCAACACAGCAACACAATATGCTCCAACCGCCTCAGATTAAAACACGATTTCTCCTCGTGGTTTTACAGCGTCGTGGTGTGTCCGTCTATCGTTCGGCTTGCTTTTGATCGAACCCCCGCCTGCTGTGTTGCGACCCTGGCTTGCGATGGACGTGCGCGTGCTCTTGATGAAAGAGAGCCGTCGCTGCCTATGATAAGCTCGAGCTCGCAACTTGTCTTGTCTACCGCATTGCACCTCACATTTGCTACCACGCTCACGCGGAACAGAGTAATTCACAGTGTGAGTCTCATCATATATCAGCTGTGACCCCGCAATGACCCTCGGTGAGCTCTTCGAGACCTTGGGGCAAGGGTTGACAGGGAAGGTTGCTGAGCCAAACCACGAAACGGAGCGTCTACACGGAATGGTAATATACGGTAAAGATATATAAATCCACACCCAAGGCTGGTTTTATCTTGATCTTTTACCGAGCACTCGGTTTTTTCCCCGTGCGGATATATTAAGTAAGCATGGAATGCGGAGTATCACTCGAGCTGAGCAATGATCAACACAGGCAGATTCACGGTGCGCATGGCTCTTCCGAACATGCGATAATCACGACACTTTTTCTTCCTTGCCAACAAGCCAGCCGCCCGCTCAGTGTGCGGGAGATGGAAAAAGGGAAGGGAAGCAACCCGCGGGTTCGGTTGAGGCTTTGACCTTGTCAGTGAGTGAATAGAGTGATTTACCGGAACGATGTCCTTGGGCCCTTCACCCAGCTGCTCGTTACCAGTTGCTTGGGCTTTCCGAACACCCGTCTTCGGATTTTTCAAATCTTGTCATCCTCCGACGGGACTCTAGTTCTTTTCTTGGCCGTCCAAATACACAGTTCTCTTGCATAAAGTTCGCATTTCTGATTTCTGAATTACAAAGGGCGGCATTCACCTTTTCGCACGATTAGCCCTTGATGCGGTATTCTTGTGAGAGAAGGAAGAGCTAATCGACTGCCACCTGAAAATACACTCATATGCAAAACGGGATCACATATTCTGAACTGGGTCTTTCAACAAACCTCAGGATGCACATGCCCATGATTCCTTGACTCCAGTCATTGGTGGGACATGCTGCTAATGCACCACATTTCCCCTTCCTGCTTCCCTGGCCCATGTTCCCTGACAGCATGTATGCTAAGGTAGTGTAAAGATGATGTAGACCGAAACAGAGATGGAGACGAGCGGCGGAGAATCCAGTCCAGTCCATCGCGGCCGGAAAGCAGAACTTCCATTGCATGATGGGACGGGACGGGACGCTATTATGTACGCTAGGTACAGCAATGCAAAAAATCGACCACGCTGCTCTCCACTCCGAGCAACAAGCACATCTCCATCTCTCATTCATCCCTCTCCACGCCCGCCCGCCTGCGGACCCGCCAAACGGCCCCGACCACCGCCGTTCGTTCATTCGGTTCGGGTGGCACGGATGGGAAAGGGGTTGCTGGGTGGAGTCGAGTTCATCGTTCGGGAGGGGATCGGCTGTACCCGTCCCTGCCGCTGTGGTTCCGCTCTTTCTTTTCTTCCAGTTCGGGCTTGGAAACACTGTGGAGGTCTTCTTTTTTCCTTCGAGTCTTGCTGATGATCTCGTCTCCATCATGACTAATTACATGATTGATTGTCGTTCTTACCAAGTTGCATTGCGATTGTCAATGTCAAACGGACATGAGGCTACATACGAGGCGCGAGGCGGGCCGTCGCTCGTTGGTGATGAAGGCTCGTCGACGATTCTCGTGCTTGGGCAGACGACTTTCGGACACCCAAGACGAAATGAGGCAGGCAGGCTTGCTGAAAACCATCATATCATATGTACCCGGGATGTGCCATGGAAAGCTTTACTTCTGGTGTTGATCAGGTGTTCGATATCATCAGCACTGGCGCCCGCGAATGGCTTGTTGACCTCGTCATTCTCAAGTCCCGTGCTTGTTCGTTCTGTTCATCTGTGGTCACTGCAGTGCACTTTGACACAGATTGGTCACTGAGGTCATCGTGACCTAGATCTTCATCCGTGCTCCAAGGTGTTTCTGCTTTCTGACCAGGGCCTCCTTTGAAAACTAAACTACGGGAAATACCAAAGCTTCACATTTGTCAACCTCATGGATCTCGCTGTTTCGCAAGCAATCTTTGTATGAATTGATGTACAGTTCAAGGCGTCCTGACAGCAAGTCTAGGGAGTGCAGTGGCGTTCTTGGGTACAAGTTTTTCTTTGAAGGCGACTTTCAGTGGAGCCGCCGCAATTAGATTGCCGTTGGACTTCATGCGATAGGAAGTGACGGAGTTGAAGGGAATGGATGGACACTGGCTTGTACAAGATATTGATGCCAAATGTGCACTCATGCCATGTGGTATAGCTCGTTTCCTGTGCGGCACTATAAGCTTACTGCTGATGCACTGTAATCCTATGGTAGTGGGCAATCCTTCCACGGGGACGGGCAAGCGTCGAGGTCATGCTGTGACGCACTGGGCGAGATCGAAAATCTTGCTTCCAAAAAAACGTCAGCCTCACGACAACCACCATCTTTCGCCCATCTTCACATTTGACATCCGCACCAATTGAACGCAACCTGCATCACTCTTAGACGCGCCGCTTTCCGAACAACCCTCCGTGCTGCTGCTGCCCCTCTTCCCCTCCCGACACCATCAACACCTCCAACCTCGTCTACCGAACACCAGCGACTGTGCAAATCAAGCTGCACAGTCAGGCGCATTGCCACCAGGGTTCACTCAAAAGTCCTTTATGCACCAAGGCTCGACTGAAACTTCTGTATCGTTACCGCGAGATCCATATCCAATATCTTCCGGCCAAACTGTCCAACATGGCTCGCCTCGCTCCCAGCCAAGCTCACCAGATGATGCCTCTCCTCATGAGAGCATCTTCGGTGGAGATGTTGCTTCTAGCAGCGACGACGGCCACCGCTTTGACCACGACTTTGGCCGACTGAGGGCTGCCGACTATGCCTCTGCCGCCCAACCTGTCATGACTGCTGGCCAACGCATCGCTGAATACGAAAGCGCCTTACTGCTGTCCCGACATCACGCTCCGCATACCGTAGCCTTCCAAGTTGTTAAGAACACTTCATCCTCTCCGGGCCGCGTCAAGTTGGCAGATTTTCCCAACGGTATGTCCGTTTGCGTAGCGTGGTTGATATTCTTGCTCGTAGCTTACAAAAACTCTCCCAGAAATCCTGACCCATATCCTATCGCATCTGCATCCAGATTCTCACGGAGACGTCGCTCTGGTCTCGAAGCGCTTTTACCACCTCGTTGCGGCCCCCTATGCCTGGCGCAGAGCCTTCCTGCGCAACTTTCCTGGCCAAGAATCGTTACTCTCGGCAAAGAACAGGAGTGAGTTCGCCAACGAAGATGGAGAGCTGGACAGAATACGCTCCGAGTCTCGGTACTTTGTCAGACTGAGTGCCATGGCTACATGGCGTAGCGAGTATCTTCTCCGCACTCGGCTGCTCCGGAGTGTGTCCCGCGGAAAACCCGACGGCTCCTCGAACCTTTCGATCCAGTCTGGAAAGAAGGCAGCCGCCGTGTTGACATATAGCCCAAGGCTCACCTGGATGGTCACCCATTTGCACGCCGTATTTTCCGGTAATCGCAATGGGCCGCGTGTGATGCATGGTTCCAGGGATATCGGAGTGGCATCTGTCGGCGATCCTACTACCGGTAAAATCGACAAGCTGGGTATGGATGACCAGTTTCAGTTTCAGCAGCTGGACGAAGTGCATCCCGGTCTAGTGTACTATGGAATGGGCGACGGGGCGGCAGCGGTTCCTAACGTCATCGACGTTAGCCAGCCCTATGGTCTCATCGGCGCTGAAGCGTTTCCTGGTGGTCGGGTCTACTTCAAACCACAGGGTCAGCTGCGCGGCCGATTTCTGGGAATCGTACCAGAAACTGTGGACGACGAGCCTGAGATACCCAAGATCCCAGAGCTCTTGGATGCCGTCTGTTCTGTTTGGATCGCAAAATCGCCCAATGTACCAACAGCAACCGACTCGATGATTGGTATGTTTACTGGCTCAACGCTCGGCATAGTGACCGCTTATACCCTTGGTTATGAAATCTCGGGTCGTCGCGCCGGCAACCGCGTTGGCGAGATCACCGCGCGCTGGGTGCTCAGCCCGGGCGTGCCCATTGTAGACATCAAGGTCGATGACAACTACAACCTGAGACGCAAAGGCATGAACAGAGTTTGGGCTGTTGCGCTGAATGCACTCGGAGAAGTCTTCTATTTGATCCAGACGCCGACACCTTCTTCGACTCGTGGAAAGTCGACAACTCTGCTCAAGGATGCTTGGGATGCCGGACGCACTGCTTATTGGGCGATGATCGAAGCAACTCGGCGTGTTGCCACACCTGATGACTGCAACAGAAATGCAGCTGATGGTTCATACACACCGCGCTCATCGGCAAATTTCATGAACCTGAGCAGGGCACAGATCGTTGCTGAGGCCCGAGAGATAGAATCTTTCTTGCGCCGCAAACCAGCTGATTTCCGGAGGGTTTGCTTAGGCTGGGATATGCAACGGAGACTCGAAGTGGACTTTGCTGCCGGCGATGAAAGTGGCGGCGAGGCCATTTTCAAGATCGATTGCGGTTTAGAGGAGAACGTGCCCCCTGCCGTTCGGAGATACGTCAGACACAAGACTAGCCCGGTGATCAATCCAGAGAAAGTTGCGGCCTTGCTGTCTTCAGCACCTAAAGCCTCTATCTTTGGAGGTGCAGAGACGTCAAAAAGCTTGGATTGTATCTCTCAGTCTACCACCAGCAATGGAGAAAAGCCTTCAGCCATTCAGGCTTCAAGCGGATCACCCTCGACCTCAGCCACGCCTGCAGGAGACACGATTAACGGTTGGTCTGTCACCGACTACAAACTCAAGATACCTCTAGGGGCAGAAATCACCGCCAGTGCTATTGATTTGTCTACCTATGCTGTCATGGCAGCATTTGAGGACCCTCTTTGCTTCGAGCATGATGGAAGTGGTGACACGTCCAAGGAGATTCCTGGTCGCCGCGCCCGCTATCTTGCTGTAGGAACCAGCACCGGCGCAGTGAATGTGTGGAACACGAGAGATCATCACTCTGCCCATACGGTCAAGCCTTTGCGGGTCATTCAGACCGACTCACCCGCTATCTCTAGTCTTGCCCTTTCGGCTCTTTATCTACTTCACGGCGGCACTGACGGCGTGGTCCAGGCATGGGATCCGTTGGCTTCAACACATGAACCTATCCGAACCCTCAATGCAAAGATGTCGGGCCGGATCCCTCGTCCCATTCTCTCTCAGGCTCCTGCAATGGAACGAAATGTCTACTCTGCTGTTCGCGCCATCTTCTTGGATCCCGATCCGACTGTCCTTCGAGGCGTGTCGGCATGGGGCAACAACATCAGGTTTTGGTCTTATAGCTCTACAAATCAAACCCCCGGTCGGAAGCGACGTCACCGACATAACGATGTACATGGCCGGCTGAGCAGCCGTAGAACCAGCCATCACGTCTCTGGCTTTATTGCTGCGGAAGAGGCGGAGCTTATCCATGAGGAGGAGACGCGCACTCGCGAGATGGCTCGGCTCCGTTCGCGGTTCGGACAAGGCTTGGCAGACATGACCGAGGAAGAAGCACTTCTTTATGCCCAGATGATTTCCGAGGAGGACTTCATCAAGCAAGAGTCGGTTCGGTTGGCAGCTGAGGCAGAGATGGGATCGACTATTGATGAAGAATGGGAAAGGTTGCCGTCCACGGGGAGCAGCGCTGATCAGCTTACACCCGAGCCTAGCCTTCCTGGCGCTAGCCCGAGTGTGACGGGAAGCGGTGCGAATCTCGCGACTGCCAATCAAGAGTCAGAGGAGGAAATGATCCAACGGGCTATTCGCCTGTCACTGCTTGAAAGCAACGGCAACGTGGATGGTGTTGTTGCAGTGGAACCGGCACCGGCACCAGAACCAGTAGCAGCAGAAGCAGAGCAGTACCCCCCTCGCAGCCTGAGCCCCTTACCCGAGTTCTCCATCAAGGTGAAGCCCTTGAAGGGCAAAGGAAAGGGCAAGCAACCTTCCCTCGCGACTGGGTCTTCCTCATCCCACAGCACGCCGGCCATTCCCTTTTCCGAGACCGGGCATAGCAACGGCTCGGTCTTCGGGCGAGATCCTTCCGACATCGCCTACGATACCGCCCCGGCAGCAGCAACTACAAATGTCACCTCTGGCACTGACATCGATGACGATCTGGCTCTTGCTTTGCGACTGAGCTTAGAGGAGGAACAGGCTCGCCAGCACCGGATGGCACATCAGAACGTTGTGCCGATGGTTTCTGATATTCGACACGCGTTGGAGAACTCGGAAGAGTTTCCGAGGTTGGATGTGAAGGGGAAGGGGAAGGGGAAGATGATCTGAAGGGATTACGTGGTCAATGTGATGCGATGTTGATAGGTTTGCAAGTTGCCATGTAGTGGGTGCTTGGAGAGCTGCGAGTTCATCTTACCCTCTTTGGTATCGATCATACCGCCCTGGAGCATCTTCAGGTTGGCAGATCCTAGGGTACTAGCGTTATTGTCTTGTGGCTGTGCTCTGTGAGGTAGAATTGAAGCGCAGAGTTGTTTGAAGTCCATCCAGATGTCTTTTTGCGTGATCCAACATGAGTACGAGGTGGTGTCTCGCATGTGCACCTTCCTTTTCCATTTTGACAGGCCTCCAAGCGGGTGCCTCGCCCGTCACGAAAGCAGGTGGGAAGGAGCTGAATCAAAGCGTGCAAAGTGAAGTCCTGGCGTGTCACGGTGACGCAGGCAGGCACGATTAGCTTTCGTTGTGTTTCACTCGTCTGCTTGCTCGACATTAGCCCCATAGGGATCGCGTCCAATATCCAATCTCCCTATCTTGGTTCTTTTGCTTCACCATCTCCTCACAATCGGTTCACCATTACACATGTCTCGAAAGTTCTTGTCTGCCCCCCGATCCCACCTCGTCCCTTGTCTAGATCGTGAATGCACACATATTGCTGCCCTCGAGTGTATGTGTTACAAGGAACGAGTTCACAGGCATGCCGTACGACCCGCTGTAGCTGAAGCTATACCTGGTGTACCTTGTCCTCAGAGGGATAGGTCTCATCAAATCCGATCAGACAAAAGGGAGGGCAACCTGGATGGTGTTGTTAGTTGAAGGGATTCGAATTCAAGAGACGCAAAGGCGGATCGTTCCAGCACTGCTTGCTCAGATTCAAGTTATGGTGAGATGGGGTTTAAGTGGTATCAGAAAGATAACAGCAAGTCTTTAACCCCTAATGTCTGTATTTTTTGTTTGTTATCTTCATTCTTACACTTTCACACAAACAAGCCCTACCTTTCTTCCTACTTCAAAGTTGTAAAATGGAGCTATTCGTCAAGAATCGTACGTCGTCTGAAAAGAATGGGTCGCAACCAAAACGTGTGGACGAAGACGACTCCTGGAGACCAGGCGTCTTCAGACGGTTTCCCACTTGTTTAGATAAGCTTTGCCTCGGTTGAAAGTTTGCAAACTTGGAAAAGAAACAGAAAAAGAAAAAGGAAGATCTGATTTTTTTTTTTAAAAAAAAAAAAAAAAAGGATATAAGCCATGAGAAAAAAATTAAAAAAGAAAAAAAAAAGGAAAAAAGGAAGTGAAGAGAGAGAAAGAAAATAATGAACAGTCAACAGTTTTCAAAGCGCATATATGCCTATTCAGAGCTCCGAAACGCAATGCCATGCATCACTTGGGGACACATGCCAAGGACGGATCGCCTCTAGTCGGCATGTAGCTATATGGACTTGAATGCCTGGACACTCAAACAGAACACCGCCATTCACGATCGTTTTGCTTGTAAAAGTAGCGGGGTTTAAAGCTTCAGAGGTAAAAAAAAAAGTATGATGTCCTCTTGACCGAAGTGGTTATAGGAGGCGTCACTGTTTGGAGACATTGGGGTCTATGTTGGTAAGGAAATACTGACGCTTCCCCGTTCGCGATGTTTCCATAAAGAACAAGTCAAACAAGATACCAGAAAGGATACGATTGCAACAGCCATTGGCTTCATCATACCCATATAATCTTGGGCACTGCTGGTCGACATTGCAAGTGATTATTCTTCTGTTCAACAAAGAGACCAAGTTTATATGCACACAAGGATAAGATAGATTAACGTTCAGGTCTTTCACCGTGATTAGATTGGGTTGGTGATATAGAGCCTGCAATCAAGCAATATTAACACATACGACCACAGATGGTAGAAAACTCGGGATCCCGTCCGCTCTCCCATAGATAAGCTACCAATCGCCTGACTAGTAGTTGGGTCGGTGACGACCAGCGAATCCCAGGTGTTGTATGTTTTTTCATTTTTTGCACTTTGCTGCCATCTATTTTTACGTGTTGTGACAGCCTTTTTATTCAAAGTTGTTGAATATTGTTTTTTTCCTTCTTTGACTGATGTCAACGGCGTTCGTGATGCGTTGATCTGCAGCCCGTGAAACGAGTTGAGCTTCCACTTGCATGGCGCTCTCAGCCCGCCCAGTAACAGTGGCAATGACATCACAACCTTTTTTAATCATCGTCACCACTTGTAAAAGTCAGATAATACAGACAGCAATACATTCGTTATGAACCCGCCACTCTCACCATATGAACAGCGACCAATATTGAAAAAGACAACTTAATACACATAACCCAAGATGTCCCGTATCCTGACCCGCCTTCCCAACCGTGCCCGCCTGCTCCCTATGGTTCCCAGACGAACCATGGCCACGGAGCTCGGCACCTCCAAGTCCCCGCAAAACGGACAAAAGGGCTTCGTGTCCGTTGGCTCGCAGACACAGGGTGATTCGCCTTCTAACCAGGGTCCTACAGAGGTGGGATTTATGTTTTCATATCTTATGTTTGTTTTGGCGGATAGCCCTCTATCTGTCTGTCTGTTGGTCTGGCTGGCTGGCTGGCTGGCTGGCTGTCTGAGAGCAGCTACATATCGGCTGTTTGTTCTTGGTCATATGCGGAATAGTGTTTGTGTATTAATGTGAATTGGGCATCTAGGCCGGACAAAAACTCCAGAAGGAGAGCAAGGGCAAGCCGGATGGAATGAAGGGAGATTCGGAGGAGGCGAGGGCCGCGGGGGGTGGTCAAAAGGCTGGGACTTCTGATGGTCAGAAGTAAAGAAGCGGGTGTTGAGTGGATAAAAAGAGGGTGAAGATGTGGTGATATAGGAGGAAATTAGCAATTATACGATATGCGCATGGTCTGATGCGGTAATGAATCGATGAGTATGGAATGATACTTGGTTCAAAAATGGATGTCCTCTGATTTGGTTGTATGTTGCCAGATTGACAGAAGAAATACCAGGCCCGATATGTGATTTGAACTAGGGAAGTGAACAAGTTTCTGACTAAGCCAATGAGGTTGGGCGACGTGGATGAAATTTAAGATTTGGTATGCGTAGATAAAAGTAGTTCTGTTCAAAACGTATAAATTACAGCATTATGTCCACCGACTTTCCCATTTACTTGCCACCGGAAAGCAGCCAGTTGAGAATGAGAACAACCCCGCCTTCCAAGGCGAACGTGGCCGTAACAACGAAATAAAATGCAAGCGTTATCCCCAAGACCTTGGGATACATTTTAACCAGTCTAATCCAGCCTTCCCTCCCGAAAGTGGTCAAGGCGTCCCTCATGGTCAAGAATGTCTCGCTGCCGCCACCCAGCACCGCTGGGTCCAGCTTGCCTTTGAAGGACCGGTCAAAGGGGACGATGGCATCTTCAGTGGGTGGAAGTAGTGAGGCTTGCACACGCCTGAGGATGACTGAAGCCGGGATCACGGCAAAAAGGTAAAGTAAGAGAGACAGAGCAGCCACTGGAATGCCCTTCAATAAAAGCGAAGGGAGCTGGAGGTCCATGTCCATGTTGTCGTCCGCTTCTTCGAACAGGCGAAGTGGCAGTCCAATCATAACTGCCAACAGCCGAGGGAGTTCGACCGCTACGACACTTGTAGCCCAGTGTACCAGCAAAGGCAAGGCAGTAGCTTGGAAAACATAGCGAAACGGCAGAACGCGGCTATACCAGGGGCGAGCGGAGGGAGGCGTGATGACGATGTGTACCCAAGCGGTTGACAGTTGCGTGAGCAAGACAGTAGCGATGAAGCTGCCAACGAAGTGTGGCAGGAAGGTGTAAACTGTGATAAGAGCGGCGAGAATAACGGTGGAAAATATGGTTATGAGCGCGCAAACGAGCCCGCGGAAATAGCCTTCCCGGCCCCAAACCCAGAGAAGGCGATGTGTAGCGCGTAGGGACGAGGTGATGGGCTTTCCGTTGGCTTCCACGACCCCAAATTCGCCCGAGGGCACAGAGCCTTCTTGAACATCGAGTGAGATGGGCGTATATTCAGGCGGTGGGTTGGGGTCTTCGATCATAGCAAGCGTTGGGTAGACATTGTGCGCCGTATAAAAGACCTGTGTTGTTGTTGACCGGCGGTTAGCATGATGTACAGAGAGATATGTCCACGAGATGGCGACTTACTCCAATAGCGGGATAGATGAAAAGGAGGCCCGTGATGAAGTATACAACGAAAGGAAGTCCAGCGAGGACGGCCTCGTCATTTGAAGCTGGAGGGTTGCTGCCGCTGGAATCGTTGGCTTCCAGGCCATCCTCAATATACCTCTTGGCGAGGCTACCGCCCACGGCGGCGATGTGATGTAGCATGTTGTGTATCCGGATGCGCTTGATGATGGGGCAAAGAGACAAGAGAGGACGCGGAAGCTGAAGGCTATGAACGTGTAGAAAGAAGGAGTGAGAATGGCCAGGTCGGAGATAAGCAAGCAGCACGCAAGTTATGATGTCGATGGACAAAGCTTTATCCTCGGTTGCAAGACGAACAAGTGGCAAACAATGAAGGATCGGAAACAATGGATGAAGCGAAACCACTCGAGACAAAAGTGGAAGAAATGAAACCAGAGAACCGGGTGGGGATGATCATCCCGTCTTATACGCAGTTAAGTCATCCATCCGCCAGGGGCCGGACTGTTGCTGGCAGGTAGTGTGGCACTGTGGAAGGCATCCTTCGACCTAGCGTCAGTCGGCCAGCCGCTTCTAGCCATGGGGGCGGTAGCGTGGCCTACAGCAGACATGCAGTAACCACCAACATCTGTCGCCCACATCCAGCTTGTCCGAGAAGAGGCAACAGGGTGAGCACAGGACGGGATAGGTAGGTACGGGACCTAGAGATGGTCTTGTGGATGAACCGGGCTGAAACTGCTCTTTTAGGGACTGAGTTCATCCATATTTCTGTCGGCCTGCTTTGTCGTATTCCCTTCAATCAACCTCTTCCAACCGCTATAAATGTCTGGTGAAGCTGATGAATTGTCAACGTGGAAAGCGGGAGCGGTTGAAAATGATTGGAAATGCCCTAGGTGTCAGACACTGGAGATGCGAGCCTTCAGAAGCAATTCATCCCCCACCTGCCCTAACAATTCGGCAAGCGGCCGCTCGATCCGCAGTAAGACGCTAACGCCAGGCAGCTCCTGCAGGCTGTACCCCGCCTGAATGTCACCCCTGCACCTGCAGCACCGTAGTGTACCATACACTACAGGTACAGCGGGCAACAACAGGCATCTTCGGCTGTAAGGACCTACGTCAGAGCTTCCTCTCACTTCCTCTCAACACCACAGACGGGGAGCTCACCCGACATTATCTGCATCCCAACCCGAACATTATACAGAGCCAGAACAGCTTACCTCATGTCTGGAACAGCACCATCAATACCAAACCTCCTCACCCTTCGTGGTCGCATAGGAGGCGGCGGCGTCACCCGGGGCCGTTACCGAGGCGTCATCCACCGGGGAGGTCGCGGCCACGGTCCCGGAGCACCCAGTGCCTCAGCAGCTCACGATGCCACCATCCAGGGCACCGACACCGACGCCGCTGTCTCCCGCCTCAGCGCAGTCCAGATAGGCTATATCGACGATCCGTATGCCGAGCTATTCGCCCAGTCTGGCCCCGGTGCCGCCAGGCGACTGCCCATCATCAACCGAGGCACCTACGCTCGCACAACGGCCATCGACAAGCTTGTTGACAAGTTCCTTGACGATACCGAGAGCTCACCAGAAGGGCGGCAGATTGTCTCGCTAGGCGCCGGCACCGATACTCGCAGTTTCCGATTATTCTCCCCTTCCGCATCAACGCCGCGCAAGCGCGTTATCTACCACGAGATCGACTTCCCCGCCATGTGCGAGAAGAAGCAGCGCATCGTCTGTAGCGCACCACAGCTACGGTCTATCCTATCCGACCCGGACTCCGTGGAGGAATTGAGTCATCACGGCGGAGGAAACTCCTGGCATAGCAAGGCCGTGGCCGAAAAGCACAAAGGAAGCGAGCTTTGGGTTCACGGGCTAGATCTCCGCGCCATTGCGGCCTCGCAACAGCCTCAGCAACCACTACCGCCAGGAGTACCGATCGGTTCCAGGGGACTTCACGCTTCGCCCTTTACCACCGGTTCAACCACACAACACGAAGAGCAAACAGAGGAAACAAGTCTACCTCAACAAAAAGAACCACTAACGTTAACATCTCTCAACCCGAACCTGCCCACCCTCATAATTTCTGAATGCTGCCTCTGCTATCTCCCTCCCTCAACCGCCTCCTCCATTGTGTCCTTCTTCACCACCACGATCCAATCCTCCCTGAGCATTGTCATCTACGAGCCCATCAAGCCTGATGATGCCTTCGGGAAGATGATGGTCTCGAACCTTGCTGCTCGAGAAATCAGAATGCCAACGTTGGAGGTGTACAAAGAGGCAGAGGACCAGGAGAGACGACTACGAGAGGCCGGATTTAGTGGCGGGGAAGGAAACGGAATAGGGGGAGCAAGGAGTAAGACGATAGAACAGATTTGGGAGGAGTGGACGAGCCAAGAGGAGAAAGAGCGGGTGGATGCGCTGGAGGGACTAGATGAGGTTGAGGAGTGGAAGTTGTTGGCGGGGCATTACATTGTTGTTTGGGGATGGAGGGGGGTGGGGGTTGATTTGGAAATATGATAGACTTGGTGACCACTTGGTTATGGGGTAGTGTCACAAAGATAAGTTCAATAATTTACCATTTAATCGTGCCAAGCTGACGGCCTGCTGAGGGTGATGAATTTCCCACCTTGGAGGATTTCCTCCAAAAAGAATACTTAGGTCAGATACCAAAGTTTGTGTCCAGCAGCTTCTTAATTTCTCATATGGGCAGATAAGTGTTCGCATCTCGCCATGTCGCCCATTTAAGGAAGAGATACAGACTTCACCTGGGATCAAGTTGTACTATCTGGCTAGCAAGAGTGTAGTTATTATTCGTTGTGACTTGGACATCATCACCTACAAAAAGCAATAGACGGGCTCATCAAGAGACGCCATGCTCGACACCAAGTGAGGAGCAAGTGAATAGTCGGCACTGAACGAACGACCCTCTCTTCTCCCTCATTAGACTATTGACATCAAGACCTAAACCTGTTTGCGCCGTAGTGCCTTGACTCCAACATATATATCGCCGTTCTCACTCAAACAGAAAGAAAATTAAGCCAGATATCCCTAGCCCTTCTTAATAGCCCCTTAAAAGCCATTTGAGCATCCTCTCAGCCAGACAAAGCCGTGGCGATGTCGACCACTGGTTGTAAAAGCAAGGCAAGAGCCCAGGCATCCCTCGACCCAACTCAAATAATCAACAAATCCGTCCTCGGCTGCAGTCTAGTCCCATTCAACATGGCCCTCCTCTTCTTGCTCGGATCCTGCAACCTCCTAAACGCTTCATGAATATGTCTCGGCTCCACCGGCGTGCGTCCCTCCCCAGGGGGTCGAACAAGCCCTTGGGCAGCTTACGCTTCTTAGTAGGACCCGCCTCGCCCGTACGCTCCTTGAGCAGGTCTTCATGGTCCTTGATCTTGAGCGCCTCCTCCGTGATGCTCTGCACCATCTCAAACGTTAAGAACCCCAAAATGTCGACGATATCGTCAGAGGGTTTACTATCCGTCACCTGCCCGAAGCCGGCCCACTCCCTAAACCTCTTGCCCTTGCGGTACGTAAAAGAAGCTTGGCGGAACTCGGACCAGGTCACGTACTCCTCGCGCGTCATGGCCTTGGTGCGCTCGTCGGCTTTGCGCAGGCGTTGGAGCGTGATATAATTCATTTCTTCTTCCTCCTCGTCCTCTTCGTCTTCGCGCTCGGGAACTTCAACGGAATAAAAGGAGGAGGGTTCCCAGGGCAAGCCGACTTTGGCCTTTTTGTTCTTCTTGGCTGCGTCATCGACGGGGCCGCCTGCGCCGGGAACAATTCCCGCGGCGGCCGAAGGGTCTTCGCCTGCGGCGCCGATGTCGGCGTCACCGCCTTTGTCTTCAGAGTCTTTGACGTTCTTGCGCACGTCCTTCCAAGAGAGGAAGGTGCGCAGCCGAGAGACTTTGGGCGCGTCGTCGCGGATTTGGAAGATTAGGTCGTTGATCGTTATGGAGCGGGAGCCGCGGCGGGCGGCGAGTTCGGTGCAGTTTTTGAGCTGTGACAAAAAGTGTGAGTCGTAAGTTTTCTATCGTATATGTAGAGGGTGCGAGTGGGTAGTAATGGCTTACCATATGGATGACCTGCTGGCGCACAATGTCTTCGATGATACTCGTGGTTTCAACGGATGGTTCGCCTGTTTCTCCAGAGACGTACATCATCTGACGAACATTGTTAGTAAATCTGGCAATAAACTGGTCCTTTGTCTCTGCTCTTTTCTTCCAGTAAAATTCCCAAGGGTCTTTTGGGTACGGGTTGACGAAGTCGTTGATGCCTCTACGCTCTGTTTCTGCATCACTTGAAGGGAATATTATGTCATTGGGAATTGAATACTTTGGTCGCTTGGCCTGATTTTCTGTATTGATCTCATCAAGGGCAGTGTTGAACGCGTCTTGGAAGAGAGCAGATCCATCACCAACTTGGTGGACGGAGGAAGAAATGGAAGGACCAATTGGTGTAGAAAATTCTCCCGTGAATGTATTTATCTGACTGGGCGCTGAAGGTATGATGATCTCATTATCAATCCAGTCATCCCATTCGGGATCCATTGTAGCTTCGTCCGGTTGAGTGGTAGGTTCTGATGGCTGATCGTGCGTGATGTCTTCAGGAATGAGTGGTTCCTCGGGATGGTCATTGGACTCCATGTCCACGTCTATGGGCTGAAAAGTTTGATCTTGAGAGGTAAACCAGACCTCGGCGCTACTGATGGTCTTGATTCTGTCCTCGCTCGGGTGACAAGAGCTCCAAAAGGTTTCGACAACATCATTAGTACCACCTTCTGTTGAAGAACCTCCAGCCGCGGACTTGTGATCTTCGCATTGAGGCTGAGCTGTGATTTCCGGTAGCAGTACCGAGGTCTGGCCACCCTCGTCACTTCTGGTAATGTTCTGCAACTCATTGCCAGTAGTGATCTGGGCCTGCTTCATTGTCGTCTGGGACTTGACAATGTTTTCCTGGGCCTTCTTCAACGTAGCCGGCTGGTCAAGTTGTTGGGTCTCAGAGCCTGGGCTCTCATTCGGTGCAGCCGGACAGTTTGCTAGCGAATTGGGGACTTCCGATGGTTGATACGGAGGTGATGAGCATTTGGATGAGAAAAGACGACTGGGCTCTTCAGTTGCGGAACAAAGATGCCCATTGTCGAGAACTCCAGAGAGCGACTCGAAGCTGCGATCAGCAGTGATAGAAACGTCTTTGGCTACACTTCCATGACATGAGTCTCTCTTTCTCCTGCTCTGTACGTGGGCTGAAGTTGTGTCATCTTCTAATTGTGTGACCTGCCCTGAATTATCGGTATCCCAAAGGGGTTCGGACCCGCTGCTGATAGACATCGAGACTGAAGATGTTGTGGACGAGTGTTGTTGCTCTTCTAAGCTACCTCCTGGGTATGTGTCTTTCTAAGACACATGGGCACGCGGGGAAGGTTCGGATCCGCTACTGATAGACATCGAGACAGATGATGGTACGGACAGTTGTTGATCATCCTCCTCCATGTAAGGGCCAGAAGAATGCTGAAAAACTGAAAGTGTCTGAGAGATGCCGGAAATAGGGGATCCAGAATGGAGGGACTCCGAATCCTGGAATGATTGCTCGGAAGAGGTCGCTAAGGCGGTCCCCGAGTGAATGACTGGGTCCGCGGACACAAGCTGTGAAGGCACGCCTGGACTGTTGGCGGAACTCTCCACAAGCTCCTTTGGAGCGCTGCCCGTAGAGGCACGACGTGTAGGGGTGTATGTTAGTGACCGCTGGCTTTCGAGAGTAGAGACCTGCTGTGGCCGTGGGCCAGAGGACCTGGTAGGAGGCCTTCCTCGCGAGATCTGAGGGGTGGTATTGCTCGCCGAACTGGTCGTCTTCGGTTTTCTTGACGGCTTGGGAGTCTGTGATGGTCTCGCCGATTGTGATCGCTGGATGCGTGTCGAACGCCGCAGAATGAGCTCTGACGGCTGTGGGGAATATAGGTCTTCCTTCGCGGCCGACGCGACAGTTCCAGAACGAAGCCTCATGGTTTCGGATTTTTGGGACTTGTCGTGAATCTGAAATCACAGGTCTAGGTCGAAGCTGCGTGGTGGTGGGTGAATGGCGAAGGAAAAGACAGCGGCTCGTGCAGAGTCGCCGTCGATTGCAAGAACGGAGGTAATAGCCGACACACGCAAGTTGATTTTTCTTAAGGCCAGAGTGAGCTTGTTATGAGAGGGAATGAATCGAGGTTCCTGGCGTCCCTAAATACTGAAAAGACCGATTTATCACGCGACCGGTAACAGAGCAACCAGGCAACCATTGGAGCTGGCATGCAACTTTCAGTTGACTGCGGAAGGCAAGAACCACTTTTCTCTAATTGAGCATCGTCCTGTGAGCAGTGCAAAACCACCGACTTTCTGGGGATCGACGACATTCGAGACTATCCAGGTGATAGCTCGTCATCCCCACAACGATCCTTCGGGATCTCTAACCACTTTCCTGAGCTGCTTCAAACAGCGTGTAATTCAGAGATTCACATTCATAAAGCAAAATCGTGCACGGGTACAAAGCGACGGGATGAGGATGCCAGAGTACAAGATATGAGCAGAGAGAAGTCATAAAGTGTGCCGAACACTTGTCAGGGCACTTTGTCTGCGAAACACGATTGTGGTTTTGCGTCCAAGGTGAGTTACTAACCTGCTGGATTTCCTGGCGGTATTTGTACTGTTTATCCTTGTCCTTGTCCGCCATCTTGACTGATACTAAAGGGCGATTGTCTGATCAAGTCGTCTATAAGTTGCCTTGTAAGAGAAGCGGTAACAATAATCGAGGAGACAAAAGACCACGCGTGCGATTCTGAGCGGAGTTAAAATAGAATCGTCGGAGCAAAAAACAAAGTATTGGAATATCAGGATTAGTGACACAAATGACAAGGAGAAGTCAGGAAGGAGTTGAGGTGGGGAGGATGGAACTGGAGTCCAAAAGTCGGGTAGGCCGTTGTAAGAGAAGAAGCTGCGAGAGTTGATGTCCGGTTGTTCGGCGGACGTCGTTGAAGTTCCGGCAACCAGCAGGGTTCCCGGTACATACTGTCACGTGATGCACATACGCTGCAGAACGTTCTTGGACCGGGCCTGCGTCGATGGCAGTTCAGAAGAAACAGTAGTCGCGTTTGATGTCTCATCTTCTGAGAAATCGACCGGAATTATGAAGCTGGGTCCAGTGAATCAGCTGCGAGACGTATCGTGGTGAAGTTGGTTGAACTCGAAATCGAGTAGTGTACAGGGCACTGAAAAGTGGTCAGGAGGTGGGATTGTGAATGGAACATAAAGTAAGTAGATCTACATGCTATGATGGGTATTTCACAAGGGCTTGCAAGTACTCTCTACTTCTTTCTACGCATCCGGTCCACTGAGCAAGGACCCGTTTCTTGCAACAGCCAATGGCCCTGTCGATCCGCATACGGTCCCACCATCTACCCCACACAAGCTGTGGTGCTCCCGTCGTCCCGTCTCCTCCAACTCGACGACAACCTCGCAAGCTGCCTGAACGCCATCATATCTTTGACTTCATTATCTGTCCTTGACCAGCCGCTCAAAGTTGGATCGCTCACCTAGTCAAAGTCATTGTTTTTCACAGCAAGCACCCTCAAACCACCCTAAACACATCAAGAATGCCTCCCGCAGGAGCTGCCTTTGTGGTACGTCATCCTAGCTCCACCTCAAGTTATGCCACGACATGTGACGTCTACATGGACGATGAAGCTCACTCTGAACACAGGCCAAACTCAAAGTTCAGCTGAAACTGGCTATTGCCAGATTGCGCATGGTCCAGAAACGAGATGAAGCCCTCGCCAAGACTCAGCGACGGGCTATGGCGCAGTTGCTTGATGTTGGCAAGGAGGACTCGGCCCGCATCCGTGTTGAGAACATCATCCGGTCAGACATCACCACCGAGCTTCACGAGATCCTGGAGCTCTACTGTGAACTTTTGCTTGCCCGCGCCGGTCTGTTGGAGGCGCCCACTTGCGATCCTGGTCTCGAGGAGGCCGTCAAGAGCATCATCTACGCCGCACCCAAGACCGAAATTAAGGAGCTCCATCAAGTACGGACGCTGCTCGCGGAGAAGTTTGGTAAGGAGTTTGCGCTGCAGGCGGTGGAAAACTCGGATGGCAAGGTGTCGGAGAAGGTAGTCAAGAAGCTCAGCGTGACGCCACCGCGGGAAGAGCTTGTTGTTGGCTATCTGGAGGAGATCGCAAAGGTGTATGGCGTGAACTGGCCAAAGAAGAAGGCAAACTTGGGCGAGCCGCCTGATTTCATGGACGAGGATGAGAGCCCGAGCGGTGGGCAGGCTCAGAAGAACCTCGAGGTACCTTTAAAGGCGGAAGATAAGGAGGCGGAGGCTCAGGAGGAGCTCAGCAAGGCTACACCACCAGTGTCCTTCGGACCTGCGAGCCCACTACATGTTAACCCACCACCGCCGTCAACCGACAATATCCATCCCAAAGTCACCCTGAACCACCAGCAACTACAATCAAAGCAATCTCCAGCGGGTGGTGGAGTTGTGAAGAAGGCACCTGCGAAAGGGAGTATCGCCGACGGCATTCCTGACGTGGACGAGCTGGCTAAGCGGTTTGCGGCTTTGAAGAAGTAGCAGGGTTTTGCCATAATATGGACTTTTTCAAGCGATTTGAGCGTTTGCAGAACCAAACTACGAAAGTATGGGAGCGAATCTTTGCAGCGGTATTTGTTGGCTCATGACTTTTCAAGCGAATCATCATCAATTCGAATATTCTCGTACCTCGGCTACTCGCTTGGTGTTGACTGACCTGTTGGATACCGCGTTGCTATTGGCATATGGCAAGCTTCTTCTGATTCTTGAATTACCAAAACCCCCCCAACCACCATACACCCAATTAGTTCTTTTGAGGGTATATGAATCACTTCCCATGTCGATATTTCCGTGGAAGGCTGGTAGAGGTAGGATGACGCAACCCTCAGGGCTGTCTCTTCCCCCTTCTCTTCACTCCTGCCTTCGACTGCTGTACACGAGGCTGATGTGATGGAAGGCCCCCGTCTGTCGACCACGCCAGAGGTGAAGCCATCTGGCAAAGCTAGCGAGGGTAGCTCCTGCCTTGCTCGCTGGATCCCCGCCGTGAAATTGATGGACGTTTGCTCTTTCCTTTCATCTCAACTTGTGTCCCTTGCTTTCACACCTGATGCCAGTTGCCTGCCCTGGTCCTGATACCCTTGAATATTACAGCACCAACGTATCGACGCAGCCCAAATCAGTTGATTTCTTTGACCTTCCACAATTCCAACATCTCGCTGAGGTTGTCCATCAAGATATTCCAAGTAACAACTGAAGCGGATATCACGAGGCTTTCAAGGAAACTTGCTCCCATTGGTATCGCGTCCCTCCCACCTGGTCACGGGTGGGAAAACGAGCCAGAGCCACGGTCGCGTCATTCACCCTCACGTAAACCTGGGAAATAGCTTGTTGAGGGGCACTCCTACTGTCAACCATTCCTGCTTCTCTTTTACCTATTCAAATTGATGCAACTCAATCATCTACCCGCAGCAATTCTCTCGGATCACGCATTTTTGTATGTTTAGCAAAACATCTGTGCTGTCAACAGAAAACCATCCATCTCATGAAGGACTTGACGCTGATAGCCGCATGTACCGCAGACTTTGATAGCAGGGGTCTCGCCACCGAGTCGCAACGCGGCTAAAAGCGTCCAGAAACCAGCCAGCATTCCCCGTTTGGACAGAAAATCACCATATCTTGCCAACAACCCGAAGAAAGCGCCTGATAGGGTTCATTTGATACTCGCGACCAAGAGCTAGCATCTCTTGCACTACCCTACCATCGACGATGGAATATAAAGAGGAGATGACAGCCTTTGTCGGGCGGCTGGGTGTTCGAACACTCGGCCAACTCTCCCTGAAGGAGCTCGCTGTGCGTCTGGATACCGGGCCAGAACCGACAACAAAGAGAGAACGGCTCTACGCCTTCATGACATGGCTCAGTGACCATCTCCTGGAACTTGACAGCTCCGATGAGAGATTGTTTAGCCACGAAATTGCAAAATGGTGCTTCTTTCTCAAGGACGCCGGCTATGATAGTACCAATGTGGTCGGAACCTTCGAAGAGTGGCTCCATGAACACAGTCACGCTGAGCCACTAAGTGCGAGGCGGCTCTCTTTGGCGGAGCTTGAGATCAAGAAGTTTTACGATATTCCCACGAAGGCACCCCGCCTTGTCCCAACAGACGAACCTTGTCAGCCGTCGCCTCCACCGGAGAAGACTCTGCAGCAGTTTCCCTCAATAAATGAGGCGTCCGAAGCGCATCCTGTCGCTGGTTTTGGACAGATCCACCCCGACCGCCTCAAGCTGTCCAGGTACGGTGACAATAAGCATGAGGAAGGCGAAGTCATTGATGTAGATGACTGGCAACGTCCCGTCGTTGCCATCAGCTCCGATGAGGACGTAGATCCTCAAACAAAGAACACTATGTCCTTCCTCACCGGAGCGAACCGAATGGTCTTTGGTGAGGATGAAGCCATCATGACCACTGACCTTCAGGGAAAGAAGAAGAAAACGAAGAAAGCGAAGAAAAGCAGGGCACAGACCATGCAGTCAGGGCCTACTTCGATTCAAACCCAAGAGAAGAACAAGACTTCCTGTGGTCGTTGCGGCGTCCCTGGTATGTAGAGAACCTCTATGCGAGATTCAGCCATGCTGACTGTACTTCGATTACAGGACATTACCACATGCAATGCCCAACAAACCTCGATCCGTCGTTTGACAAGAGTCCGCCCGACGAGTACAAATGTAACTTTTGCAACAGATACGGTGACCACTATGCCACAGTCTGTAAGAGGAACATGAACCCTACATCTCTCACTCAGCAGAGAAAGCGATTTGCAGAACGAGGTCGTCAACTCCACCCCAGCAGAGGTCGGAGTAGCTCACCATTGAGGGGGCCGAACGATAAACGTCACATTGGAAGGGAAAGATCACCATACAGGGTGCCCAGAGACAGACATCACTACGATAGGGAAAGTTCACCCTACAGGGAGTCAGAAACCAGACATCACGTCGATAGGGATCGGTCGAGAGAGAGGAGAAAGTCTCGGGAGAGATACAGAAGAAGGCGTAGTAGATCCAGATCCAGATCCAGATCTCCTTCTCCTCTCCGGCAGGCTCTACCGAGAAGAGACAACCCCCGGGCCATTAGGGAGTATCGGTTGAAACACCCGTGTCGCCAACCGAGCTTTCACAAACTAGAGCCATCTTCTCCGCCTCAGTTTAGGGCCCTAGACCACGGCGATACCTTCGAACATATGCCCGATGCGCCCTATCGACCTTTGGGTTCACGGCCCACGGGAGTTAAAATTCGAGGGCGAGGAAGTTCTCTCTACTATGATGACAATGTAAAGGGAGTTATGCCAGCTTCTGTCTACGGAAATGAGGACCTGATGTCCCGCAAGACGCATCAGCCACAAATGCCGGCGCCTCATCAGGTCGATTACGTTTATCGCCCAGCATTGTATGAAGGATCTTTCATCACTGAGCTGACAGATTTGATCGCCAGCACCACCGTCTCGCCTCTGGCACGAGCTCCTATGAAGAGTAGGCTGCCAGAGGTGTTCAAAAATGACTTGCGACAGTCTTCTGGATCGTGTGTGATCGAGCCGACCATTAACACTACTTTGGTTAAGCCAGAGTTAGTTCCAAATATTGTGCGGGAGCCCTCGCCCCCTGTGGAGCTGGGTGTTACGGAGAAGAGACTTGATGGTCGTCATGGTACTCGGTATCATCCAGCCATCTTGGAGCTGTTCAAGAACCGGAAGAATGTCTGGATTAACAAGATTGACAAAGCTATGCGCAGCCAAGCGTCTAGTTTTTTCTGGGACACAGACCCCAAGGACCCGGAGGAGGAACTAAATGTTTCAGCTGATACTAACGCTGAATCGGCCAGTGACACAGTCATGACGGAAGCCGAGCCCGTTGGTACGGCCATTGATGAGGCTAATAGTGAAGCTACGCCTGTTGCGTTGTTGACTGATGGCCCCCGACGTGTCGATTCCACGCCGGCTATCGATGTCGTGATGGAGAATCATACTGAAATGCAGATTCTCTATCGCGATGAAGACGGAGTTCAAACTCATCACCCTTGCGGAGACGGTCGGATTGGCTTCAAGCCACCTGTTGATGCTGCAATGGAGGATGATGAGCCTCTTGGATTCTCTGCGGCTGTTGACGTCTCTGCAATTGTCGATGAAGTGATCGCTGAGGTGGCGGCAAAGACTACCTCCGGGTCGGTTGAGAAGGAGTCACCTTCTATTGTGGCCACGACTCGCTCGGAGACCCTCAGTTTGCCTAAGACAATCAACTTGACTTCGGCTGAGAGCGCTCACATCGTCCGCAAAGTCAAGCCTGGGCATGGGGTCACAGTAAATGACCATGACAATTGCACGTCAATGGAGGGCGCAGAGGAGGTTGGAGACAGTAGCAAATCTGAGACGGCCATCAAAGACGTGATGAACGTTGAAGCGGACCTTGAACCTGTTGAGATTAAGATTTCTCAGCCTGAAGATCAAGTGGACGTCACAGTCTTCGAGGGGTCGAAGGCGCAGTAGTGTCTGCACTTGTCCCCAGACCCGTCTGTCGACTAGTTGATAAGATATGCTACGGACTTACTTGGATCATGGCGTCAAGTACCTCTTACGGTCTTGTTTCACAATTCAATACAGATTGCAAGCGAGCAAACAGTTATTTCGAATTGAAACATCCCTTTGGTGCATGTCCAAGTCGACGAACGTCTCTCCATGGTCGAGTTTAATTCTGCAACTTTTTTGGTGGCAACGGCAGGTAGGTATCCGATTCTGCAGCTCAGGGTTCACTTCATGGCGAGCACCACACAGCAGTGTCAGTAACGGCCATTGACGCTCGCTTCGTTGCTGAGCTGCAGAGACGGTTCAGTTATCTGCCACTGACGAAAACTTGATGCTTTGAAAGAGAACATCGGAAGCTTCTCAGGCAGAGACGTGAAGGAACACCAATATTTCATAGAGCAATGCGTTTCGGATCTCGCGACGCGGTGTCTTTGTAAGATTAGTTAATCGATTACTCTAAGTATAAGCTCAGAAGCCCTGCCATGTAAGGGGCTGTTGGTGTGGTAGAATAGGCAGCTTGCTTGCTCAGTGTTTGCTGAGCATCTTCCTGCCCCTTATGTGTGATATGGGTATATGTAATCACCTCTTCGCGTCCTTCTCTCCTGCCATCCCTTTTCGATGCTTCGATAGTCGGTGATCGTTTCTCACTGGAAGTGTCGACGGCAAAAGGTTGACGTCTACCAGCCCAAAGCGTTCCCATCCGAGGGTCGTGGTCATGTAGGGTTCAGTCAACTCAGCCCTGTGTTGATGGGGTCGAGGGTCTGGGTCGTTCGAACGGTTCGGCAGAAGGTCAGACCTCGTTACTGCACCCGTATGCTCGGCTGGAATTGCCGAGAGCCGTCCGAGCGCGGAAGTCAGTATTCGTCACCGTCCATCCCAAGCCCCTGGTTGATATTTCCGTGTGTCGGCCGGTCGGTCGGTCGCGGTCCGTCAGTCAGCCGGCCCCCCTTATCCGCATTCATCCACCCCCTTGGCTCCTAGCCCCTTATCCGTTTCGCCCTTTTCTTCCCTTCCAACGCCGTATTTCCTCCTGTCATCATTCCAGCTTATCCAAATGCTCCAACCTCGTCAGCACAACCTGTTTACTCGTCTCCTCAATCTCGCCCGCCAAGAAGACCTCGTCCAGGATGGCGTACACCTTGTAAAAGTTGAAGACCAAGTCCAGCTCGCAGACGTTGCCGAAGAAGCTGTCCAGCACTTCGACAAAGAAATGGATGGCCTCCAAATAGGCTAGCTCGTTGTCGTTCGTGTCGACGCAGGCGCAAAAGAACAGGCCCGCGTATCGTCGGTACACGACCTTGTGGTTGCGGAACTCGACAAAGTTGGATTGGTATTTTTGGTCGCGGGGGGCTACTAGGCGGTGGATCTGGGGTTGTGAAGAATTTAGAAGGGGGAGGTTAAGTAAGGGGAAAGGGAGGGGGGGGGAGAGGGAAACTGGACTTACCTCGCCTTTGAGCTTGATCTTTTCTTCGTCGCTGTAGGGGACGTACCACTTTGCTAGACGGGTTTTACCCCTTTGTTTATTGGTGTTAGTCTATCGAGTTTGCGACAATGGCTTTTAGATATGTATATGTGTGTGTATGGTGTGGCGCATCTGCTATTTGATGTTGCGACTTTGTGACACATGATGCGCTTGTGTGTAGTAGAAGAGGAGGTAAGGTAACGTACTGTCGGTTCTGGATGAGAATGAATGACAACATGGCTGCGAATTATACTTTTGCGACAACAGCGAGGCGGGCGGCCGTCTGAAAGTTGCCAAGTTGAAAACAATACACAGAGATTGTAAAGAGAACCAAACCGAACCGCGAGATCCGCCGTTGCTTTATTGAACTGCCCGGCACTAGAACCGCGTGGTATTGGATCTCACATGCGACGTAAATCGATTTTCGTACAAAGGATCGACGGGAAGGGAAAAGATGGTGTTTTGTAAATGATTAGATACGGATTATAGAATTTAGTTGCTAGCGGTGATGTCGAAGTCCTGCTGTCGTCCCTCTGGGATGAGCCGCGTCCATACGAGCCGCCCAGGGGTGAGTGGGGCCCGAGCTTTCCTTTCCGTCGTCCATCGAGGTGCTCGTTCACAGCGGCAGTGGAGGCGGAATGGAGGGAACCCTGGCTGTTTTCCATCTGATGCGATCCGATAGGGGGCAATTCTTGGCACCTACCTCTACTTATAGGAGCTTATCGATAGCAGCTGCGCTATCCGCCCAGGCGCCGCGTCCGTCTTCACGTGTCGCAGTGCGACTGGAGTCGTTGTTTTGGCGCTTGGTTTCAGTGCGGTGCTGTTCCAGTTCGAGTCCAATCTTTGTCAGGTTCGATCGATCGAACGGAGTCGGGACCATTCACTGGGGACAAGTGTGAGGTCTTGGCAAGATTGACATGGAAGGTCACATTGTAGCCACTGGGGTGGCGCCCCATTCTTTGCGTGCACATGGCAAGCTGAAGCCGAGGACTACCGTTCGAGGGGACCCATTTTCAACTTCTAATGATTCAGTTCCCATCCTCCATCAGTCACGTCCATTGACTTGGACGCGAACAACAACTACTGCTGCTGCCCGGTGCATGCCGTTCGCTTCATTACATTAGCCCTTGTTTCTCTGTACATCTTGTATCCTCTTACCAGTCCGCCGATCACGACGTCCACGACAAAAGAGCCCTCAAATCTTGGATGCGACCCGCGGGCTGTCAACTCCCCTCCCGACCCGGCCAGGGTTCACTCTACAAGTCAAAATGACCGATAATAAGCGTGTGGCCAAGGACATCATGTCCGGGCTGCTACTAGCTGCTACCGTACGGGCTCTGCTAGCCGCGATGCAATGCGCCCACCACAATCTGCTGACACTTTGCTCTCCAGACAATATCCGTATACTTCATCTTCCGTGACTACGTCGCCCCCCACGTCGCAAAGCTCATCGACCCCGACCGTGCTAAGCACGACCAAAACAGGCTGAAAGCTCAACAAAATCTGGCCAGGATACAAAAGTCACGAGACAAATCCAAGGTTGCCAACGACGAGTTCGCCGACGATGAGGTCCCCGAAGACTCACCCTCCAGCGTGCGGGTTGAGGACCTCGTTCTCAACGAGTACGAGAGCCAGGTAGCGCTGGAAGTAGTTGCGCCCGAGGACATCCCGGTTGGGTTCGACGATATCGGCGGTTTGGACGAGATTATCGAGGAGGTCAGGGAAGCTATCATTTACCCGCTCACGATGCCGCAGCTCTATTCGCATGGCGGCACGCTACTGTCCGCGCCTTCGGGCGTCTTGCTATATGGCCCTCCTGGCTGCGGAAAGACCATGCTGGCCAAAGCTGTGGCGCACGAGAGCGGCGCCTCGTTTATCAATCTGCATATCTCGACTCTTACAGAAAAGTGGTACGGCGACTCCAACAAGCTTGTTCGCGCAGTGTTCTCGCTTGCGCTAAAGCTGCAGCCGGCCATCATCTTCATTGACGAGATCGATGCCGTCTTGGGAACAAGGAGAAGCGGAGAGCATGAGGCTAGCGGCATGGTCAAAGCCGAGTAAGTGACCCTTTGCTCTACTTCAAGATGCGCCATGTGTAACCTTGGGCTTCCGGAGCTAACCTTAAAACCACAACAACAGGTTCATGACTCTTTGGGATGGTCTTACCTCTACCAACTCTCTCGGCCAACCCGCCAGAATTATGGTCCTTGGCGCAACCAACCGCATCAACGACATTGACGACGCCATTCTCCGCAGAATGCCCAAGAAGTTCCCCGTCCCGCTTCCAGGCAAGGACCAGCGCCGGCGTATCCTTGAGCTCGTCCTCGCCGATACAAAGCGCGACCCCGGATTTGATCTGGAGTACATTGCTATGGTAACGGAAGGCATGTCTGGAAGCGAGCTCAAAGAGGCATGCCGTGATGCGGCCATGGTTCCCATGAGGGAGGCTATCCGGAACCAAAAGGCCGCAGGAAAGTCGATAAAGAAGCTGGATCCCAACACGGTGCGTGGTTTGCGCACGAATGATTTTTTCGGTCGCAAGGGTGGCGCGCCCAGTTTGGCGGCGGACAGCCGTCCCAGTTCCGTCAGGCCAGAGGCGGCCATGAGCGTGAGAGAGATCTATGAAGTCGAGACTGAGACCGAGGACATTTTGTCTTAATGTGTGGTTGTGGGCAGTACCCCCGAAAAATGGGAACTGAAAAAGAAACACAGTGCCAGCCAAGCAGGCAGCATTAGTGCGGGATCAAAGGACAGCGAAGAAACTTTGGAAAGTATCACGAGCGTCATACCATCATTGCCAAAGACTTGCTAGGGCATTTCTTCTGACCAGGTAGAGGAATTGGACCAGTACACACTCCGAGACAGGAGGCGCAGGCGCAGTTTATCAAACCCATAGAACCCACCGTTTACTGGTAGCCTTACTTTGGAATCTCCAGCTTATCTTGGTTTCTGGAAGTCTTATGGAACATTCAAATCGGTCCTACCCGTGTGTGACCCAGGTATCAATATTCGAGTCCGACCTTTCTAGGCGGAATCGTGATCCGAGACTGTAAGAGGTCACCGAGGAAGTCCTGTCCGAGTCCTTTCGAGTCCTATCTATACAGCCTCGTTTCCTCATTATGTTCTTGTGCGGCAGAGAAAGCAGGGTGTTTAAGCCATTCAAGGCTGTGCAGACGCTGATGGTTGTCCGGCCTGGCTCTTGATTTGCCTGTTTGATTGCCTGACCGGTCTGTCTGAGGCTCCGAGGCCTGAACGTGACAACTGCCTGATCCTGCAGCAGTGCCCCGAAACCAAAATCGAGGCTGCAATATCAATAATTTTTCGGTCAGCCCAACACAAAACAGCACATTTCCTTCAACACCGTTCACCGAATGAACGCAACCAATATCCCGAAGCACAAACTCCCGTTTCGGTCTCCCGTTCTGTGTCCGAACTTTTGGATATCCGGCGAGCGGCTGGGGGCCAAGCACGTCATTCTCGAAGCCCCACACAATTAGTGAACAAATGGACCATTGTCTACATTCTGGCAGATAACCGGGTACCTCATGGGGAAGCGAGACGTGGCGGGCGGGCGGGGTACCTTGCCATCGTGGATCCCCCGGGTTGCGTCCTCAATGCGACACTGGGCTGAAGGTGGAGCCGTTCGCAACGCCGATGGTCGGACAAGCAGGAAAAGGATGGCGAATTTAGTGTGAAGAGACAATATCCGGGAGTGTTGTTGGGATACCATTGCGAGAAATGAGTGGTATTTCAAGTTGAAAGTAAACAAAGTCGGGATGTTATCATCTGGTGTGGATATGATGATTTAGCTGTGCAAGTGGTCCAGATGTTTGGATGATTCAACTCGACGAAAGTAACATGGAAAAAGACGGCATGAAGCGGTCGACGAACCGAATTGTGGGTGGACGGCTACACTACAGCTGCTGCTGCAAGGGACCAACCACAATTGTAGTGTAGCTCCAACTCTGTACATATGTAGGTCCTCGGCACCAATGTACCGCTGGACGGCAACCGCGACAGAGGGTGACAACACCCCACCACCCCGAATGCCGTCCCCAGTTCATCCATCCACCCCCGCCGGACATCCAGTCCCGTCCAGTCCACGCGAATTGGCAACCAGTCATCGACACATCCTCCATCGGTACACAATCCACACCCTCACCGGGCACAAATCTTGGGGAACCAGGGGCCCCAATCTGGAACTTTAACTCGTCCAACCGGGGAGTCACTGGCACGATATTGCCCCGAAGGTCCACCGTTGCCCGTCTCGATCGGTTTCGTCTTATAATAACTGGCCCTGATTTCGCCATTCTCTTTCTCTTCTTTTTCTTCTGCATGTTTATACTCGACCAGACCATCAATAATTTACATACGGAATTCCCTGATTCAACTCGGATTTGTATGACCCGTCCTTCCAAGAGACTTAACGTCCAGCTACCAACCGCAATTTGCCCCTCAATCCAGGCCCAGGTTCCACGTACTGCCACCAGCATCTCCAGATCCACTACACTCCTCCGTTCTTCGCTCCCGTCGCCGCCGCATATCGCCTAGACCTGCCCAAATCAAAGACGTCGCGCTTTGACTCATCACACCATCGGCCTCTATCCGTTCCATCCATACCACCGGTACGCCAGCAGAAACAGCAGCATCGAAAAGCTATACAGAAGCGGTAACAGCTTCTACAACCTTCTCACCACCACACCACATCCTCACAACGACAAATATGTCGACTCCCAACAGTGACAGCCCGGCCGCGCAAGCCGCCAAGAAGGTCTTTTCTCGCCTAGACCTTGACGGCCACCATCTCCCGCCATCACCCGCACCCTCGAGCCCTCACAATGGCCGAAGATATGCCTTGGCCACCGAGCTCGTCTACACCGAGACCAAGGACCAGTATGGCGCCTCGAGCATCCCCATCTACCAGTCCGCTACCTTCAAGCAGTCGTCTTCCAACGGCGGCAGCGAGTACGATTACACTCGCTCCGGCAACCCGACCCGCACCCATCTCGAGCGCCACTTGGCCAAGATCATGAACGCGAACCGCTGCTTGTCCGTCAGTTCCGGCATGGGCGCTCTCGACGTCATCACCCGCCTGCTCAAGCCCGGCGACGAGGTTATCACCGGCGACGACCTGTACGGCGGCACCAACCGCCTTTTGACCTACCTCAAGAATAACCAGGGCGTTATCGTTCACCACGTCGACACCACCAACGTCGAAAGTGTGCGCCAGATCATCTCTCCCAAGACCGCTATGGTCCTGCTCGAGACCCCCACGAACCCTCTTATCAAGATCTGCGACATCCCCACGATTGCGCGCATCACGCACGAGGCTAACGAGAAGGCTGTGGTTGTCGTCGACAACACCATGCTCTCGCCTATGCTGTTCAACCCGCTTGATGTGGGCGCTGATATCGTCTACGAGTCCGGCACCAAGTACCTGTCGGGCCACCACGACATCATGGCGGGTGTCATTGCCGTCAACGACACCGAGTTGGGCGACAAAATGTACTTCACCGTCAACGCCACCGGCTGCGGTCTCTCGCCCAACGACTCCTTCCTCCTCATGCGCGGTGTCAAGACTCTAGCCATCCGCATGGAGAAGCAGCAGGCCAACGCGCAGCGCATCGCCGAGTTCCTCGAGTCGCACGGTTTCAAGGTGCGCTACCCCGGTCTCAAGTCGCACCCGCAGTACGACTTGCACTGGTCGATGGCCCGCGGCGCTGGCGCCGTGCTGTCGTTTGAGACGGGCGATGTGGCGCTGAGCGAGCGCATTGTCGAGGCCGCGAGGCTCTGGGGCATCTCGGTCAGCTTTGGCTGCGTGAACTCGCTGATCAGCATGCCTTGCCGAATGAGCCATGCCTCCATTGACGCTAAGACGCGCGCCGAAAGGCAGATGCCCGAGGATATCATTCGCCTGTGCGTGGGTATTGAGGATGCCGATGATTTGATTGATGATTTGTCGCGTGCTGTAAGTTTACCTACCTGGACTGTTTTCTTATCTGGATTGAGACTAACCCAATACGTAATACAGCTTGTCCAAGCCGGTGCCGTTACTCTCACGGTAGATGGGTTCCACGCTAACACCGCGGAAGGTGCTGCTGCTGCTGCTGCTGGGTCAGAGGCGGCCGAGACCACCACCACTGCTGCTCCTTCTCTTTAAGCAGAGAAAGAAAAAGAGGGAGAAAAAGAAAGAGAGAAAAAAAAATCAGAAAAAAACAGAAGGAGAAAGAGAACGTTTTATACCACTTTTGTTGTTGTTACTTCTACCGCATGTCATGAGTGTTCCTTAGACAGCAGATATGAGATGAAGAAAAGAAGGAACGATCTTTTGAGTTACTACTGTATTTGTACCAGGGACAGGATGTTATGTGTGTTACATTTTTATACCAGATGAAAGGCGCTATGGAACGGGTTTCATATTGGTCGAATGAATGGGCTGGTCGGATCGGCTTGATAGGTGTCACAGAATCGGAGTCGGGTTGAGATGACATGTAATGATAAGATGACAGGATGGACAGCCGTCATCTGAAGATCATATTCAAGATCATGATAACGACCTCCATCGATCAAAGATCATTTGTGATAAGCGTGTCTATATTGTCGATCTACCGGTATTTTCCATATCTGTTAAGAAAACACTGGCTGGAAAGGCTCGTTGATATATACCTGCTGAGTATAAGCAGAAGGAAAATACAACTAACAAGTATGAACGTAAAGAATCGCATGCCGGAGTCCGGCCGGCAATCGGGGATGCACTGGGTTGAAATCAGAGGAATTGAAGTGTGAATGGTAACCATTGAACTAATTCATCCGGATAGAGCACAATCCAATAACTTCTTGAACTCTCCTCTACTCTCCTCTACTTTGCCCACAACCAACAACAGTAAACTCAGTCAGCCACCCAAGATCTCGCTAAATTCAAAAATTCAAGAACTTCCCCTAGCATATTGGTGAGAAACCCCCTATTCCTGCATGGGCACACACACAAACAAAGCTCAAGGGGTGCCATTCCTGCGAGCCGCCGCCGCCCTTTGGGTTCCGACGATTTCACGTTTCGTTTAGGTACATAATCGTCATACGTAAAAGTCATTCCACAGCCATGCGAGTGACATGTTGCTCGAGAAAACTGTATGATGAGGCTGGCTGACAAGACAACGAAGGTGAAGAAGGGTGAAAAAGGGGTGAACTAGACTAGACTAGTGAGCTGAACCGGAACCGAACAGGAAGGCCCGAGAGGGGTAAGGGTGGGCCGGAATGGGGAGATGTCATGGATAGCTGGTGTCGGGAGTAAATTTTCAATCCGAGCTTGGGCTGGCTAAAAGAAAAAGGGGACGGCAACGGGAGAGATGATCTTTGGAGGAGGAAGTCCCTGGGTTAGAGAAAAGGCCATTCATTGTATGATATCAGGAACGTAGGGGAAAATGCAGCACCAAGATGTCGATAAATCTTTGGACATGGGATTCATTCCGGTATCAGAACGAGTAGAAAGAGCTGATAGTGTATAGATCAGCTAGGCTTGCTGAGTAAAAACAGGGTGGTGAAATATGGACACTCCCCCGGATTACCGGGTATGGCAAGAGTGTATAGCATCTGCTTAAACCTGGAGGAAACGCGAGAGACTGAATACTTCAAATAGGCATCGACACATCAGCATCCTTTCTGAAAGAGGTTTACGAGCCAAAGACCCAGGGTATATAGAGAGCAGGGTGATCCGATTCATCATGGACGCAGTACAATAGGAGAAGACGTAACCACACCAGGTGAAATAAAGGGGGTGAATAACAAATAAGTGGAAACAAAGAGTCCCATCACAACAACGCTGCCCCTGGTACAACAGTAACAAGAAGAAAACACCATAACCACCCAGGGGTATCAGTTAGACAAGGAAGCTGCGTTCAGCTCAGTGCTCATACACTTCGTGGTCCGAAATCCCTTCTCTCGGCCCGGTTCAGCCCATCTCAACTTCGACTCCCTTCCCGAGCCTTTTCTCGGTATGTAACACATAGGTACCTCGCTTCGTTGTTGTACACATATGAAGTTTGTTGCCACCGCCATGCTGCCTGCCACGGCAGGCGTGGCAGGCCTGCCGTGGCATGGCACAGTCAGAGCTGGCATGGCACCTCACTTCTGCGGTAACAAAAACAGAAAGAAGGAAAAATTCACCAAATCGAGAAAAAGCAACATTCCCTCGTACGCCCTTTGTTCCACAAGCAACACGACCAAACGCCCCTTCACCGCCTTGACAGCCTTTGTCCCCTCCTCTCCTCCTCGCTTTCCCCGTCATGTTCTCCGCTCAGATTTACCGGATTCCTCTCCGCAATTCCTGCAAGTGAATGCCCGAGACGATATCCTTGGTGATACATGCTGTGCGTGCTCCTGCTGCTGTTGGTGCCGGTTCTTTCTGTGTTTGCTGCGAGCCTACACAGCCAGGAGAGATACCAGGGAATTGTGGAAAGCCAGTAGGGAGCCCCCCGATCTTAACACGAGGGTGAAGACTCGAGATCCCCCCTTTCATTGTTCACCATTTCCCTTACCCTTACCCTCCTGTTAGCCGCCCGTAACACTCGAGTCGTTTGTCCAGCCCTGATTGTCAGTTAGAGCACCAGCGAGTTTCCGAACTTTCCTCCTCTTCCCTGTCTTCTCTTCTGCTCTCCCTTCCTCTTCCCACTCCCTTCCTCTGAAGGTCAAAAACCACCCTGAATGTATGATACTTTGGGTATCTAATTTCTGCTGAGCTGAAAAGCAAGCGAGGGAATCAGTAATCAGGAGCAAACAATGATACTGCAAGATAGCCGGGATAAAGGTTAGTATGATCAGGGCACTCAATAGGAGTCAAAACGTCGAGGGCCTGCGCAATAGGTAAATGTCAGTTGCTGTAAGGTAACTTACCGGACAAATCCCCCTACCCAATCAACCTTCCGCCCGTCATCCCGTCTGGTCTCTATGTGCTACCACCGCCGCTTTCCCTGGACTGTCCAATAAGCGTCTCGGTGATAGGCAAATTGCTCCGATTTCGCTCCTCCTGCCAGCGAACCAGCATGGGATTAACAGTGGTGCTTGTGTCAGGGGTGGTGCTGTGACTGTGCTGTCCGTTGTTATGACTGACGGGTGACGATTTAGTCCGGTTTTGCTGTTGTTGGGAGGAGGAGAAGCTACATAGAGAATTGGTGGTGAGGCCCTGAATAACACACACTCACACTTGCCCCTTTGCCTTTCCATCTCTACCCTTATTACAGAAGAACACATTCACATAAACGACCTTCCTCCCCTTTCACCTCGCAAAAGCAGAGGATGTGGTGGCACCAACCCTTGATGGTCAGTACCAGTAGCTGGTTGACAATTTTCTCTCACGCTGTGAGGCATGATTCTTTCCGCGGAAGCCTGTATTGCTCTGAGAGAGTGGGTGGATGGCTTTGTGGATTAGGTGGCGGTGGTCGTGACCAAATGGCTGATCAGTGTGGTAGTTGCTATGACAATGCCAGTGCTGCGGATGGCAGGGAAAATGCTCAAACTCCTCGGATGTTGTCTATCCGTTGTGATATACGCTGGTGGGTGCACTTGATAGCGAGATCATGAGCGGTGGGTTTTAAGTCGTATTCTTAAATAAAGGGAGGATTGTGATGAAACTTCTTCTGCTGGTGGCCAGCTTCTGACTTGCCCCTCTGATGGGGGACATTTCCGGCTTATATATCGGAAACGACAGAGATCTCCACGGAACCAAGACTCTTCAGCATGTTGAGATTATGAAGTCTCGTCATTGCTGTGATGATTCCCTGTACGGCCAACGGCTATCAATGAGCATCAATCAACAGGCTTGGGGCTGGTGGGTGATGAGCAATGCAGACATGGCGCCCAATTCGGATCCAAGCTTTACCGGTAATCTAGCATGCATGTATTCTTCGTACCTATGGTCACGCGGTCAGTCATCATATACGGAAAGACGAAGAAGAGGTGAAAGATCATGATCCAAACTAAGGCCTATCGCCGAAAGCCCCCACAACACTTGGTCAAGGTACATGTTGAGTCGATACACCTCGCTGTCAAGGGAAGCTTGTCCATGAGCCCCAGACCCGGCCTAATATGCAGATCATCCATCAGCCGGGGTTATGCTGGGAACCTTGCCGATAAGGAGGACTCCTCTGTAGCAGAGTACTACCTCCTTCGAGTCCCTCTACCAGGCTGTGGACTGTTGACCTCCGCAGTAGTTGTCGTCCCTCTATCTACTGCGTTTTGGTGTGGGTACGCGACAGTAAGTGGTTAGCCGTCACATCCAGCTTCAAGATGAGAAGACCAGATAATGAAGCATTGAAGAAGGCCACCTACCTGCGGGTTTCGCAGTGTGAAAGTATCAGGGACAAATTCTCATCACTTCATTCTCTTCTTTACATCACCCCACGCTTCCCCTGCAGGCCCAGCGTTAGATACCACATGTGTGACCCAGGAAGCTGGAAATTTGTGGGTGAATCCTACATCGCCGTCTTGGTGCTGCTTCGAGCAGCGCTGTGCTCTACAGGTACTAGAAAATGTACCGGTTCCTCTGCTGATCGAGACCTTAACGATACAAGTCTGTTGTATCCTCGTAGCTTGATGCTTCCCTTGGCAGGGTTTCCTGCTCTCACCTAGAGCGCCTCGTGTCATGCCGGGGCGCTCCGTGCCTCTAGTATCTCCGGTGTTCATGTTTCCAGCACCCTCGCAAAGCCTGTATCGTTCACCATCTCTCTGTTTTTCTTCGCCTCTACTCGCATCACATCCGTGTGACACCACTTCGTTACATCAGGGTATATGCTTCTGCTTTGAACTTGTCAACGCCATGCAAGACTGAAGCGCCAAATGCAGGACATTTGCGTAGAGGGGCAACGGCATTAATACCGGGGCAAGATAATGGACGTCAATTCGTCACTTCGCCAAAAGCTCATTCCGATGTTGTGCTATGCCTTTCCTTCAATACCGTCATTGAAGTCGAAATCAGCCCGCTCAATCGAATCTCAGAAGCATTGCGTGATAGGATTGATTTTTCCAGCAAGATGAAATGACATCGGTCAAGTATTGCCGTACAAACAGCGTGTACGATCCTGACCGGTCTGCAGGCTTTGTTCGAGTCTTCTTGACTTCTGTTTGGTTCTTGGCGTCAGATGAGTTGGTTGAACTCAGTCTGTTTGTCTTTTACGGTGCTGACCTGCAGACAGACAAGAGGATTGAACAGCTCCCATGTCCCTCTTGACCATCGAATGTGAAGGCTAAAATCGAGCTGTGTGGGCGGGGCATCTTGATGGCTAAGGAGCGAAGGCTTGTCTGAAGCGACGAGGGCTCGATATCAGTAGCGAGTGAGTATAACTTATGTGGTAGTCTATAGCATCGCCATCGGTAGCATCGTCGTAATAGAATAAGAGCTTCTGTATGTTTGCTTACTTGTAGTATGTGGCGTCTGCGAGTGGCATGGTACAGTAACCGATGTGCACAGTTAGTTCCCATGCATTAATACTTTCTTCCCTCACCTGGCTTTCAATCTACAATTTCGCTGTGTCTGACGGTGATCGTCCGATGCTAGCCAGCACACGCCTGGGATCCTGAAGGGACGATTGTAGACACTGGGTGAATCCGAAGACAAAGTCGACTCTCCAGTTCATGAGGAATGAGGCTCCTGGTCATTCATGGCAACACAATTTGTTCGGACGATGATTCTGTTTTTTTCTTTTGCAGGGAGGGATAGCGACGGAGAATCCTTGCGTTGAGTGCGGGATTCAGTGAAAGGGTACGTACCTATGGATGAAATGCCAAAGCAATTGTCGTACCCATCTGTACCTCAAAGTCGCAATTTGGCTAGACCGATGGCGGTGGTGGTAAAGTGCCTTCCTCGTATGGCCATTACAGTCGGAAAGGTACATATTGCTTTTGTGTTGGCCAGTAACAGGTCATAATTTCGTTTGCTAGCTGCGAGCAAAGTACCGCGTCGAGAATGCGTCAAAGTTGTGGGGACTCGGTGTAACCTTCGAGAGGTGGCATTTCCCCAGATTGAATCATGATGAAAGTGCTCATCGGAATCTTGAACGTTCCGTGACCTGATATTACACGGTTGCCCCTGGCGTTGGATGTTCTGTGAACTATCTCCAAGCCTTGACGCGCTCTGGGGTGACAAACTAGCATAGTTGAAGTTCACACTGATGTGAGACACTCAACAAAAGATCGGAATAAAGCAGAATATCTGGGTCACCATCTGTTCTTGCCGGAACTTTGTTCAGTCGCCACCTACTTAACAAAGTTAATGTGGATAGGAAGTGTCATGTTGTTGTCGCCTGCACGCATAGAGCTGTGAGGTGGCAGGAAAAGCATGTAATCAGAACCCCCCTCGAAGCAAACTTGTGCTCCCATGGCCATTGTATGGCCCATGTCAAAGCTAGAAAAGAATGCAGACGAATCGGGCAATCTCAGGACCCATAGAAAAATTCTCTAACCTTTCGTTCCAACATTGGAAAATTTGTTTGTTGTTAGACCACTGTTTCGCGAGCGTCTGTATGTATTGTCAGTCTGTGAAACTGTTACACAAGTTGGCGGAGCTCAGGTATGCAATGATGGCAGGCCCACTCCGTTCTTCTGACCCAGGAGATCAAAGACATGCGGGATGGCGAGATAAGATTAAGGTCCGGAGCATGGAAGGACGTAGCGACTGGTTGATAGCCAGGAGAGCAACCTTCCCAGATGCATAGGTGCTGGAGTCAGCGATGTTGGCTGTAGGTTTGCGAACTTCCCGGCCATTAATCAAGGTGTTAGGCGGTTTCTCGCAGGACGGACCTTTGATTTTGGCGATTGAGGTCTTTAACCTTGGTCGCCTTTTGATTACTGATATGGTCATTATGTAGCCGAAACGTTGGCGTACCGTGTGATTATGCGTCAAGCCTGTTGTGCTTCTTTCGCACGCTTCTTCAAATCGCGGGATGGAGCCGATTCATCCAGACGCTCTTGGTCTCCCTAGATCAGGCGAGTTTGAAGCCCACTGCGCAAGTGGTAATAACAAGAGAGCGACTGTTGAGTTTCCTTGTCATAGCACGAACCCTCTGTTCCAGGGGAGGGAAACAACGATTGGTCGGCATGGTTTGCAACCAGGGCAATTATGGCTTCTTGTCATAGATGCCCCTGTCTATCAGTCTGTCGTGGTAGTATGCAACGGTTGACTGCCTCATAGACTGATTTTGTGGACTTCCCCATAGAAGTCTGGGAATTTGGTGCGGCTCTGCGAATCCAACGAGCGAAAAGACAGCCGGGGAACGGCAAGGGCGAGAAAGCGGGCCGAGGAAACTCAGTGTTAGAAACAACAGGCAAACAGGTCTCGGATAAACCACCCATGGTGAAGGGGGCGTGAAGTACCTTGATCAT